CCACGCTTGACATCTCTGAGGATAGTGATCAGGCATCATGATTTCTCATCATAAGAAGCATTTTCTGGGGAAACTGACATATTTATGGGACCTGTCAATAATGGTTTCCAGGTTGAGATAACTATCCAGAGAGTGAAGTTGTTAGTGAGGTCCTCAATTCTTTCAGGACTTTGAGCCTGAATAGAATTCAGTGTTTCTCTTTCTTATAATAATTGAAATATGCTGATAGCTGTACCTCAAACCATTCTCATATATGTCTATTATGACACAGCTAAAAATTATTTTAGACAGAGTGATTTGTCAATTCCCTTCCTTTTGTGGCTAGGGAAACTGAGGCTGGAAAGGTCATGGGACACACTCAAGGTCATGCCACTAGCTAAATTCTGGATTCCAGGTTTCCTCCCTTTGGGCCAAGGCTGCTTTGCCCAAAGCAGCAGAAAGCCTGCAGGATAGCGTCAAGATGGCCAGGCGGGAGACAGTGCCATCCATCTTAAAAATCATCCTGGCTTCTGTCAGCTGATGAAGGGAATAAAGTTAATGATGCCACATGAATGCGCTGTCGCAGGACGCGCACAGGCTGCGGGAGGGGAGCTCTGCGGGCCCTCTGGAGAAGGAGGGAGGATTTTGATGTAGCCTTACAGGGAGCAGTGTCTCCCCTTCCTGCAGGGACAGGGGCTGTGGCATCTGCTACCTCTGTCTCCCCTGCAGAGTGCTTAGTTTCAGGCTGGACACATGAGCACATGATAAATAAGTGCCTGGTCAAGAATGAAGGCAGTGTGAGCAGTGAGGCAGATTCATCCTGAGCCTGTGGGGGCACAGCCTCTGTCTCTCATAAAGACCTGAGACGAGGCTGCAGGGAACTGAGAGGTGTCAGAGTCAGTCATTTGGTAAGAAAACGGAGTCCCCATAAGGGGAAGAGACTTGACAAAGCCATGCTGCAGGCTGGGAACAGAACTGGCTCTGGGGATGGGGGTGGGGAAGTCTCAAATCACAGCCTATCTGCTCTTCCCACTGCATCCCATGGGTGCAACCTCCTTCACAAGGTGGTCTCCACAATGAATTCCCTGGATGCCCCCTGAAAGGTCATTATCAGTTTTGCAAACATGCAGAAGGTATGTGCCGATCCATAATTCCACTCACCAGTCTAGGGTCCTAGGCCAAGCAGACCCACAGGGACTTAAGACATGATGTTTTCTCTTTCTCATGGTTCCTAAACCCCCAAAAGGGGGTAGAGTGACATTTTGATTGGCCCTACTGCAAACATGCCCTAGGGGCTTCTCTCCTTAGGAAAAAGTCCTTGACCCATTTTAGGAGCTCCTAGGCACTTTTCGCAGTGTCCCAACTGCCACGGGTGAGATTTCAGGAGACTCCGGCTATGCTACCCGGAGGGAAAGATCCAGGTGGTCATCTGCCCCTCTTGGCAAGCTCAGAGACCAGGAAGCCAGAGGGGCCATTTTGATGGGAAGCTCATTTATCTTTCAACTGGGTGGTTTTCCAGCACCGAGATCTGAGCAAAAATCTATTTGCCATGTTTTTTTTTGACCCTGGTGTGCTAGAAACATCTTCCCTTCAAGGTTTTGGTGACCTTTCTTAGCAAATGAGCACCATATTCAGTCCAAAACCCTGTGCAAGGAAGCATTTGCTGGGACGGCAGGTGGAACTGGCACATAGAGAAAAGCTGTCGTCATTTGGGGAAGCCACCCATGGCTTAGACTTGGTTTATCTCCTCTGCCTTTATTCCCGTCTCAAGCACAAGCCAGGGCTCTCTTTGCTTCACTGCGATGCTTTAAGCGTTTCATGAGGGGCATTTTCTTCCTTCCTTATTCTAATTAGTACATCAGAGCAACAGATTAAACAGTTGTCACTGTATACCAGTGGTTTTCAACTGCAGCCAAGTTGGTCCCCACCCCTGGATTTTTGGCAGTGTCTGGAGAGCTTTTTGATGGTCAAGACTGAGGAGGAGGTGCTATGGTGCTAAGGATGCTGCTAAACATCTTACAATGCATCAGGCAGCCCTCATAACAAAGAATTCTCCAGTTCACATGCCAGCAGTGTTGAGATTGCGAGATATGGTTATTTACCACGGGTCTATTTGAGTTATTGAGTAGGTGAGAAAATTGTGGGGTCGCCCTGGTACCTTCTCACCCATAAGCCACTGTAAGGGCTCTCAGAGTCAAAGTCAGTTCTCTTGGACTCAAAAGGAATGCATTTCTACTATAAAACAACTCATCTTTCTGGATATAAAGCCCCATCCTCATTGATAAAAATAAAGAGACAATATTGGTTATTGCATCCTAGAATGGCACTTCTGGAATTCTACACCCACAGGCTTTTCAAATATCAGAGCAGGAACTTCAGCCAAATCACTTGATTTTAGTAATGGGGACACAGTTGATGAGCAGCGCTGTGCTGTTTGCTTGTCTCCCAGGACCCTAGTCTCTCTCCCCCTCAGCTCTTTCTAAGGCCTCGATTGTTCTCTGTGTTGGCACCGGAGGAGATTTCTGCCTCACGCACTCTGTTGTTTTGTTTGTTTTGCTGTCATTATTGCCATTTCGCTGGCTATGTGCTGATGCAGCAGCATTTCTGTTATCCAGGCTCTTTTCTTCTCTAGCCCCCAGATTTCCCAACAAGGTGAGCATCTGGCATCATTCAATATAAGGAGTACCTGGGTGCCTGAGATTATTGGATTGTCTTATTTCAACACAGTGTCTGTCCCTTGGGGGAGAAGGGATTATTCACATGGAACCTTCTAGGGAGCTGCCAGTCTCCATTTACCTCCACATGCATTCTATCAAACCCCCAGATTTAATGCTTCCTTATTTTCACCTAAAATTTAGAAAATGAGAGAGTTAGAAATGAAAATGCCAATTAGACAAAGATAACACTTTCCCTCCTTGTAACTCCCCTTCTCCCCCGACCTCTCTGAAAAATTGCTGGGGGAATTTTCCTAGTTCAGTTCTCATTTTTATTATTTTATGTCTCAGGACATTTCTGAAGCAACATTGACTCCTCAAATAATGAAGCCATTTCTATATTTTGAAAGTGCAATGGTACAAATCCCTTCCCAGCCCTTCAGTCATGACTCTTCTTTCCTTCTAAACACATGGAGTCATATCCCATACCCATCATAGCTCATGTATATCTTGACACACGCAGGGGAAGGAGATGTAGAGTGATGCTTCCTGATAGGCCACCACCACTTTCCTTAAAGTATTAACATGGTACATTCACAGCCTTATCAAAACGATTGCAATTCAAACCTTTTAAACTGTGTTTCCCTTTTGTGAAAGACAATGTCTGGGAGAATAAAATAACTATACTTACTGTTCACCAATAAAAAAGAGTTGGGGGTGGGTGATGTGCTTGGTTTTATTAATTTGTTCTTTAATCTCTCTGGTACAGTTCTATCTTCTTAAGCCAAACAGAGAATCAATTTGCATACAAATGTGACCAAGTACAGTTCTACTATGTATATAGGGGAGAAAGGATTTGATATTGTTAAATTAAGAGGATACTTTCTGCCCTTTCCCCCATATAGTAGCTACATTTCACAGGGCCCTCGATTGCTGCACTTTTAAAATTCTATCTGACTCCCTGACTATTTGCATTCTGAGCTGTGGGCAGGACTATGGCCTATTAAAGAATGATTTGAACCGGGGATTAGAAGCTTTAGCATTGGGTAGATCAGAGAAGGAGAAGGGTCTTCTTTTTATCTCAAGAGAAAGACATGAAGAAAAGCTTACATATAGACCCTTAAAATCTAGGGGGAGGTGTCATTCATTTAATAAACCAACCGACAGATTAGTCAAACCAACAATTCATATGCAGAGCTCTCTAAAATGTAATAAAACAAAAAACCCAAAAATTACTTGCCGATTTATGATAAGAGAGAATAATATTTGATGGTTACTTATTTTAAAAAGGAGTAGATTTTTCAAATTACTGTTAACCCAATGCCATGGTAAAACATGAGAGGCAGGCATCTAAAATGAGAAAGATTAATGATCCCTGCAGGTCATGGAAGAAAAATAATTTTTTTCAATTCATGTAAATGGAATTTATCATTATCATCTCTGAAGATGGCATGATTCACCCACTCTCAAAAGGACTATCTATTTCAATGCTTCCTGAAAAGGCGATTTTTCACTTTTTGCTTGTATTAACATAAGAATGCTAAGCCTGTAGGCAAAAAATTTTAACCTGGGAGAAAATGGGTAGGGGAACTCAGCTATTTAGTCAGGAGTAGACATAAATTAAAAAACAAAACACATACAGGAATTGCCAATCAGGTCAGGATCTTCAGCTAATAAAGTAGAGTTTGGAAAGGTGAGTCGGGGAGAGGAGAGAGTCAAAGTTTCAAAAGGGAAATGTTTCCCAGGATCTGATTCTAAATCAATCCGCTGTACACCCAAGTTTAGGGCTTTACAACCCGAGGTCGTAACACTATTTTTTTCCAAGCACGAAGCCTCAGTAGCATGCACCCACACCCCGCAGAAAACAGAAACAAAAAAAGGGAGAGAAAATGAAATGTTCTGTGTCCAGTGAGTTCGAGTGCAACCTCCCCCGTCACCACTAGTTGTCACTTGGTTCCCCCAGACAGGAGAGCTGAGATTTTCGGCACTGCGGTTAGAGAGAATGCAGTCCTAATTAAACTGAGTAACTCCTAAAGCTTCCCCTTAAAGTCCCCAGCTGAGTGAGAGCCAAATGCAGGGGTCCTGGGGGCCAGTGATGGGGTGGGGGTGTAGCAGGCGGAAGGACAAACAAATCACAAGAAACAGGTAAACAGCTGCCAGAGCAACGGCTGTCTCAGACCTCCACGCACACGCCAGACACCCTGAGGGCGGGGTGGGGGGAGGGGGGAGCGGCGGATGGAAGGACCCGATTGCAGCGGGGTACGGCATCTCCCCCCACCCCAAAGAAGGGATCACGAACAGAGTCAGCCTCCGTGCTCCTTCCCCCCATTTTCATCAGAGCGATGTGGTCAGTAGAAAATTGCATACCTGAAGAATACAATGGTCTCCCAAAGGTAGAGTCGAAGAGTATTGAAGCTGTACATTTTCAGGTCCTTGTGCTTTGTAGTCCACGAGTTATGGGGCCAAAAATATGTTTCAAATTGGTACTTACAAAGCCAGCGAGCGCTATTGAAAAAATAATCCAGATGCCGAGGGGAGGTGGGAAACGGAGCGGAGGGAAAGCCCCAGGGGAAATTGGAGCGAGGGGGCTATAGGTACCACGGACAGCCGCCGCCGCCGCGAAGCGTTTCAGCACCACGGAGAGCGTCCAGCCCTGATTTTGGAGAGCGCGGAGAGTATTGCTGCTTGTTAAACTCCAGCGTGTCTGTTGGCTCCCTGCGGCGCTGGGGAGGCACGTTTGGGGGTGGGTATATTTTCTTTTTTACCCGTTTTTCTGTTTAAATGGCCAGCTTCATGCAAGAAAAAAAATCTTCTGTGGAGATCAGAGCGCTGGCCGCGGACGGTTAGATGGGGCAAGCATCTTGGGTAGTGAGAGTAGGGTTTAATGCTGAGGGGGTTAGGGGCGAGGGGAAGCGATTGGCGGTGCTGCCTTCAGTTAAATCCCAGAGAATATGCCAGGCTGGCGCATCGCGACCGAGTCCCGGAATCTCGTTCCCCTGCCTGCGTGTCGGTCTGCTGTCGCCTTGCGATTCCTGTTCTTTGGCCCCCGACGAATAAGTTATGATCACTGCAGGAAAGGTGTCCCATTGCTCGGGGCTGCAGATGTGAGGGAGCTTAGGGCAAGTTTCGGGGGCTGCCAGGGTCCATGGCGACTCCGCGGGGCTCAGGAACCTTAGGCTTCAGATGCATCTTGGTTTTCTAAGCTTGCCCATCTTCCTTTTGCCAGGACTCCTTCAGATCTTCAGACTTTCTTACTGCATTAATTTAACAAACTGGCGGCGTTGGGGATTGGAAGGGGGTGGGGGGGGCAGGCGATCGCCGAGGGGAGGGGGTGGAGAGAGAGAGAGAAAAAAAGGGGGGAAAACTCCTTAGTATCTTCAAACCCTCCCACTCGAGATGCTCATTGGCCAACCGCTGCAAAAACCAGATCTTTTTCCAGTGCTTGGCCAATCGCGTGTTATACTCTGGGTTGAGTTTAACGCTTAGAGTGCTGGAAGAGATTCCATCTTCCCTCTCCTTTGCATGGGGGCGGTGGGGTAGAGGAAGTTATGGAGTTAATCTCTCCAGGTCTCTCAAAACAATGTCTTGTTTTTTAAAGAATGTAGTTGTATGTGAATAAAACAAATCCATGGGCCCCAGTTCAGACATACTTCTGGGCTCATTTTTTTCATCTTAAATGGGAAGAATTGAATCAGGTCCTTGAGTTTCTTTAGAGCTCTGAAGTTATAATATTTGGCCCCAGGAAAAAAAGAGAGAGAGAGGTTTCAAAAAGAAGCCTAGTCGATAAAAGAAGGCACCCCTGCCCCCCTCGCTCCCCCAGGGCCAATGCAGCAGGAAAACAGGGGAAATTCCTTGAGCAATTTCCAGGATCAAGAGGGAGCAGTCCTGGCCTCATGCTCGCACCCTTTTGGGAGACAAGGACGATATGCCATCTTCCAGCTAGGCAGGAGACAGTTTCATTTACATCTTATAAGCTGGGGAACCAGAGTCACAGGGAGCTGTGGTTTGCTCCAAAATAATGGCAGGGCCAAGAGGTACATACAGGTATTCAGTGCTTACCACTCCCATCCCGTTGCTTTTTCTTCCTCCTGCTTCTGTTCTCCCACCTTATTTGAGTGTCAGAAACCAGCTATACATTTCACTCTAGAGCTCAGCTGGGGAGGTGGAGTTAATCAGATTTTCTCCAAGCTACCGGGCTCTAATGGATTGCTGGCCTCTGAGGGTTTTCTGGCTGATGTGAATGGATTGGGACTGTGGGGTCTCTCCCTCCCCGCCTACCGAGCCTCCCTCCTATCCAGTAACTCTAGGGACTCCTTCTTTTGAGTTTTTGGAGGCTGGTTCTCTCTAGAATAATTCATAACAGTTCAGCTCCCTCCAAGTCCAGGCCTTCTCCCCAGGAAAAAAACACAATCAGGAAAGCTTTGTTCACCAGCCTCCTCCCCGCCCCTAGGATGATAGCACACCCCACATTCCTTCCTTTTTTTATTGGCTCCTGCACACCAGAAAGTAATGAGCTACTTAGAATTTCCATGAGGTCCTGAATAGTGACTGGAAAGAAAATGTTGCTTGGAAGGTGGGTATTCATATAAGTCTGATACAAATTTATATCATGTATCTATTGATCACTAACCTTTATTAGCATGCCTTGTATGTGCCAGGTATTATTGTGCACTTCACATAATCTCATTTACTTTTACAGTCATACCTTGAGGTAAACATTATCTTCATGAATGTGTTTGTGTACTTGTGTTTTTACATTTGTGAGTATGCTTGGGCCAGACAAGCTTGTATATTTCTGTCTACATAAATTGATTTATGATTTGTAAAATGCCTAATTCTGAAGTGAATGTTAAGTGCATATGTGTATTTGTGTTTGTAAATGGGTGTCTGTCCACAGAAGCATACAGGGTAGGTTTATAGTTGTTTGTATGGAAAAATACAATAATTAATAAATAATAATACCAGAATAAACTCTGTTTCCCATACTCACAACTGGGGGCATTGTACCCCTTGAGGTACCAAAACAAACTGTGAGCTGGCAACTCTGTCCTTGCTCCTCATCTGGTTAGGAAGCACCTGTGCAGGCAGGTGTGAATACAGTGTGTAGATGTTACTTTTTCTTTTTTTTCTCCTTCAAGGGTTACTGTGTGTGTGTGTGTGTGTGTGTGTGTGTGTGTGTGTGTGTGGTGTTGCTCTTTGTGGGTGTGAATGTCTCTGAGGCTGTGGCCTCTGCAGGAGGTGAGAGTAATTATCACCCGAGAATAATTATTATCTAGTAGGCTCCTACTTTTATTGAATCAGTACACATGAACTGAGCATGTACCAAACATCGGGGATATGACAATATGTAAGAGAAATAACACTTTGAACCCCTGGAACATGCAAACCCTCCAGAGGTTCAGTGGGAAAAGCTCTTCATGGTTATGAATCTACACTTTTTACCCCATATCTCGCATATTTCTCTTGCCTGTAAAGAGTACACCCAGATCTTCCTGTCTTGTGTAGGTCACTATTGAAAATAAACAACTGAAGGCTTGGAGGTCAGGGACTTAAGTTCTTATTGTATCTCTCCCTCAAAAAGGCTGGATGATATGGGATAAATGACCAAACTTTCTGGGCCTAAGCCAAATGAGGACAGTAATGCCTACTCTTTGCACCACATAAAGCTGCATAAAAGAAATGGTGTTCGGGTCTCATCTTATTGTGAAACTACCATGCTATGAAACAGAAACCCGAATGGAAGGGAATGGACTGGTTTCTGCTGATGGTCCATTTCTATTGGCAAGTATTCTGTGTAGCTTAATTCCAATATTGGACTGGTCCCTCATAGTCCCAGTAGCCAGTTTTGAATCCTTCTAGGTAGGAATAAATTTCGACACACACTGAGACTTATTTTATTATTAGAGGAGATTCATTCTTTCAACAGACATTTATTGAGCACTTACTATGTCAGGCACTATTCTAGGCAGTGGGACAAAGTAGGTAAAGATTCCTATTCTAATGGAGTGTATTTTCTAGTGGCGGGAGACAGAAGATAAACAAGTAAGTTATGATGTATTAAGCAATCATAAAGATGGAAAAGAAAGAAGCACAGTAAAGGGACACAAAGCACAGAGAGTGACACGAAGGGGCAGTTTTATACAGGGAGGTCAGATCAGGGAATGGCTTCCTAAAAGGAGACATTTGAACACATGACTGAAGGAAGTCAGGGAATGAGTCATGTGAACCTCAGGGGGGCGGGGAGGGTGAGGTCTCCAGGCAGTGGAAAAGCAAATGCAAAGGCTGTGAGAGGGAGGTGTGCTGAGAGTGTGCAAGTCACATCAAGGAGACCAGTGTGCCTGGGTGGAGTGAATGACGGAAGAGTCCCAAGATAGAGAAGTAGTTTGGGGCTAGAGCATGTACTACCTCCAGGGCATAGTAAGGACTTCGGGTTTTATTCCGAGTGCACCCCATTGGGGGGATGTGAGCAGAGGAGTAACAAGATCTGACTGAACATTTTAACAAGATTAGTCTGGCTGTTGTATTTAAAAATAAAAAAGTGGGGAGGGCCCTGCCACTGTGGCTCAGTGCTTGAGTGTCAATCCATGAACCTTCACTTCCCAGTCAGGGCACATGCCTGGATTGCGAGCTTGATCCATAGAGCAGGAGGCAACTGATCGATGTCTCTCCCTCATCGATGTCTCTATCTTTCTATCCCTCTTCCTTCCTCTCTCTCTAAATCAATAAAAATATGTTTTGAAAAAGTGGGGGAGGGAAGGGGCAAAATGAAAGCAGGGAGATTAGTTAGGAGCTACTGGGAAAAACCTATGCAAGAGATTTTTAGAGACTGCTCTTGCTCAACCACTGAGCCACACTGGCCAGGCTTGTTCAACATTTTTATTTACAGAAGAGGAAAATTATACCAAGCCAGATTAAGTGACTTACCCCTTAGACCAGTAGCAGAGTTGGGACAAGAATACAGGTACCCTGATGAGAGCTAAGGAGTCTTTCCACTATTTTTTGCTTCAACTCACATGAAAGGCATGCAAGGGAAGGTCAAGGCAATCTCTGAGGGAAGGGACGCTACCCAGCTTGCTACTGATCTATATCTAGCACATGGCACAGGGCCTGACACATAGAAGGCACTCAAGTAAATATTTCCTGCAAGGATGAATGGCTGAACAAGTGAAAGAAGAAAAAAGATTCATGAGGGCCCTGAAGAGAGGAAGAGAAGAGAAAGGAATAGTGTTAATCAGGTGAGAGTATGTTTTCCCCAGCCAGCTAATGAAATCAACCCAACGCCAAGCCTCTGACCATAGTGACATTCACAGAGGAGAGTGCTGGATGCTTCCACACTCCTTTGACAGGCTTCAATGGTACTTTGTAAAGGGAGATGGATATTTGGAGCAACTGAGTAGCTTGCCTAATTGTGCTGAAGTATTAT